TCTCTCTCTCTCTCTCTCTCTCTCACACACACACACACACACACACACAGAGCCTCTCAGGCTACTTGGACAGGGAGGATCTGCAGTGGAGAGGATGCCCTCCGGCAAGGACACACAAAGGCCCCTCTAATACTGAAAGGAGGCTCGACTGGATGTAGTAGAGCTATGGTTTAGGTGAGTAGTAAGGTAGTTGAAGAAATGATTATACAATGGACATGAGATGATTACAGGATTATTGATCATTTTCTCAGTGTGATAATATAGTATTTATATAAGAGAATAAAATATCCTTATTTTTAAAGGAAGTTGTACTGAAATAACTAAGGGTAAAGTGACACAATGTCTACAACATACTTTGTTGAGGAAAAATGCATACATTCACAAGTGTGACAAAAGTCAATTTGTGGACACATGTGATAGGTATTCAAGCAATTACTCTCCTAGTAAAAAATTGCACATTTGTGTTTATAGCAGTAAAAAATTGTACATCTGTGTTTATAGCAGTAAAAAATTGTACATTTGTGTTTATAGCAGTATTTTTTTTTTTGCAGTATTATTCATAATAGCCCCAAGTTGGGAACAACTCAAATGGTCACCAATGGGCCCAGGAATAAACTAGATGGTCAATATCCATTCACAGGAAGAGGATTTGACCATAAGTGGGAGAAATGGTAACTGAAAAGCACAGGGATTTTTTAGAGGTGTTAACATTATTCTAAAATCAACTGTGGTGATGGTTGCAGATCTCAATGGCTATATTAAAAACTGGACACTTTCAATGGATGAATTGTGTGGTATGTGAATTATATCTCAAGATGATTTTAAAATGAAAAGAAAGAGGAGCTAGTACATGCTACAACACGGAAGATCCGTTTTAAATGGGTACTAGTTAGAAACGCCAAAACACAAAGGTAACACAGTGTATGACTCTGATTATGTGAACAACCTAGCAGAGGCAACACCTTCGAGACAGAGAGCCCACATGGTTGGCTGGTGCAGGAGGGAGAAATGGGGCGTCCCTCTGTAATGAGCATGGGATGTATCCTCTGAAAAGAGGAAGAAATTCTGCAACTAGGCAGAGGGGGCAATTGGTTATCCACAATGTAAGTTTGCTAAATGCCACCGAAAATGAGTGGTACAGGGCAAATAAACTTGGTTATGTGTATTTTACCACAATGAAAATGTGGGAACAAAAGCTGAGTTAGTTTATTGTGCCTACCTGGCCAATAAACACATGTGGGGTTAATTGAAGGGAAGAGGGATAAGTGGCTCAGTGAGTGTCGCCTTTCTAGTTCTCGGTCTCTTGCTTTCTGATGGTAGACCAGGGTGCAGCTGCCTTAGCCGGTTTATCTGCTTTAGCTGGCAAGGTTGACTTCCTGCAAGACATCCCTGAGGAGAAGCCACATGAACCTACCCTGATGCAGCCCTGGGTGCTGGAGCAGCCATGTGGAGACCCCTGCCAGTGCTGAGATGCTTAAATGCTCACTGACTCAGCTTTCCTCCTGCAGTCGGCATTATTGCATCTGTTTTGTGAGATGAAGGAGGACTTTGTGGATTGGTGTTGGACATATGGGTTAATGGGTTACTGTTGGACTTGTGGGTTTGGGCAGCACTGGGTTGGGATGTTTTCTTGATGCGCACTTAACCTTTATATAAACTCTCTCATACATAAGTTTCTGTGGATTTCTTTCATTGACAGTGAATTAATACCTCCAGCTGGGAGGGGTGGATCTATTGACTGCGGTGGGTCAATTGTTTCTAGGGGCTCAATATTCTCCTCTTCTGGATCATCAGCCCATATATTCCCATCCCATGTTTCAGGGTCCCAACTTTTTCCGATCAATGCCCTCACTTTGGTATCAGACACTGCTCTAGATCTACAATTCAGCTGACACCTACACCTTAATCCTATAATCCTGTGAATATGTTACCCCACCTATGAAAGTTTGCAAGCCAACCACTTCATGACCTTATCTGACCTCTGGCTAGACAAAGAAAAACTACTATGAGGGAGAGGTCAAACAAACATCAACTCTCCATCTTATGATTTGTTAAATCTCTCTTTTTTTGTAAAATCATTTTATTAGGGGCTCATACAACTCCTATCACAATCTATCCATACATCAATTGTGTAAAGCGCCCTTTGTACATTCATTGCCCTCATCATTCTCAAAACATTTCCTCTCCACTTAAGCCCCCGGCATTAGGTCCTCATTTTTCCCCTTCCTCCCCGCTCCCACCTCCCTCATGAGCCCTTGATAATTTATAAATTGTAATTTTGTCATATCTTGCCCTGTCCGACGTCTTCCTTCAACCACTTTTCGGTTGGTTTCTGTAGATTTGTTTCTCCAAAGTACCCAGACTAACACAAAAGCCAATGGGAAGGAGCTACTATCACAGTCAGTAATAGATTAGAAGGAGGTTTAAAAGAGAAAAAGATAAACAACTTACCTGGAAGTGAAGCAGGATACTTAAAAAGAATACTCGTTGCATAGGCTTCTTCTGAGGCAGGATCAAAGGACAAGGGAGACATGGGTGGCAAAAGATCCACAGCCTTTAAACAGAGAATCCACAATATGAAGGTTACACGTTACCCCCACTACCACCATTACACTGCTAACTTCATTGACAAGTGGATTTTTGATTTTTCGGTCCCAACAAAAAGTTACCAAACATATACACTAGCCAATGGTAACTGTAGTTTAACTTAAGGAGTGCAATATTAGCAACAACATTAGGGGATTCCTTGGTTCTCCAACTACTTCACACCAGGAGGAATGTTTCCTGTTTAGACACTCAAGTCATAACAGCAGCTATGGAATAGTCCAAGACATTCAGAAAAAGTACTCCATCAAAACACTTGAGTTTTATACTCAAATGCAAAGATTACAAGCATGTATATGCCACACATTTCCAGGTCATCTGCGATATGATAAGCCAGGAAATGGCACTGCCTTAGCGGCAGTCGGGGTTACTTACTTTCCCAATATGAAGTCAGGGTCACTTACTGGGGTAACGCTTGTAATCAGATTGAAAGGAGACAGACCAAGAAATTCTTTCCACTTTTTATGCCAGTCTCCTTGTTTCTCAAGAATAGACTGTCTTATGGTCGTGAGATTCTCTTTTATTTTACACCTATAATGGCAATAAAAATTGTATCCAAATTACATATACATCAAAAGGTATTCAGTAAAACTTAGGAAACAAATGATGGTTGTAGTTAAATGGAAGGAAATACAAATCAAAGTGGAGTCAACTTTACTCAGTGCTTAAAGGACCTGCTCTCATTCAAGGCCAGGAAGCAATCAGAAGTTATTTCCCCATACACCTTTCTCACCCAAGACCCTTTCCCAGCTCTAAACTCAGGCTCTGCTACTAGTTGGCCCATTCCCCATGACAGCCCTCCCCCAAGCTCCCAATCTTGCTGCTCAGAGAAAAAACTTTCGAGGCCTACTTTAGCTTAGTAGAACCCACCAAAAAAATTAGCCAAGGAAAAATAAAAGTTACAATATCTTAAAGATACCACTTAGGAAAAAAAAAAGGGTTTTTTTTCTAGATAAGGAGAAAACTACATTAATTTTCCTTTCTACTTCTTTTATCTTTCTTGGGAGTTGATCAGATATTAAGGTTTTTCAGAGTAAATGGAATATTTACACCAATGAATTCTAACTATATATGAGCTTTGCTGAGGTAAGTTATCAAAACCACCCCTAATCCTCCCATAATACAACAGACGAGCTTTCTGGCATACCTTGTTTGCTTCAGATCTGATAATCTTTTTCTCTGAAATTTGGTCTCATTTTCAAGGTAGTGAACATCTATTGATAGTCTTGCTTGATCAGCCTGACACTGTTCAGATTTCATTATTTTCAATACTTCATTTAATAACTGAATAATCGTTAAGAGGTTCAACTTCCCAGCCTCATAGACATTTCCTATGTGCAACTAAGGATTCAGGGAGGGGGGGAAAAAAGCAGTAAGCTATAGATTGTGAAGATTAAAATAAATTGCTACCTAATACATTTATGCATTTTATTATTATAAAGTTTACTTTAAAGAATTTTTAAAAATTCCTTCCCCCACCGAAAACTTTGTTTCTAATATAAGCAACTGCTGTGAAAGAACATGATATGTGACAAATAACAGAATAAAGATTGAGGGTAAAGAGTAGGTTTGGGGCAACATCACAAATTTTCTTTTTATAACAAAAGGTACAGAAGATGGAGCTTTCTCCCACAGGGGCGTTCTAGCCTGCCCTACAGGGCCGCTATGGGTTGGCATTGACTTAGTGGCAGAGAGTTTGTTTTAAAGACTGCATTCACACTTCTGCAGATTTATCTGGAAGTTTTCAAAACACCTAAACACACAACCAGCATTTTAAAAAGTATAGATTTCACACAGAAATTCCACTCTACTTTTCCAAAGGTTTCATCATGCCTCACCTTTCCACCGCTGTTTTCTTAGAATGAGGATGCTCACTGATGTATTTTAACTGCCCATCTCTGGGAGAAATTCGATTTTCTAGGTCTTAAGTTTTTACACACTCTGAGGCTTATGTCCCTACCATGTCACCCATTAAACTGAAAGTTCTTTGGAGTGGAAAAAAAGTAATTTATCATTCTACTTCCTGTACCCTGTCAATACTTGGCATACAGCTAATGCTTAGTAAATCAGGTGTTTGCTAGCAAAAATAGATATGGGCTATCTAGATGGAAATATCCCATGAGCAGGCAGTTAAGGTAAAAGAGATAGTAATGTGGGACTACTATAATAAAAGAGGTGGTTGACCGATCACTGAAAACAAATGTGTGCATAAGCAAATGTGGTGAAAAAAGCTAATAGTGCCCAGCTATCAAAATATATAGCGTCTGGGTTCTTAAGGCTTGAAGGTAATCAAGCGGCTATCTAGCTCAGAAGCAACAAAGCCTACATGGAAGAAGCACACCAGCCTGTGTGATCAAGAGGTGTCAAAGGGATCAGGTATCAGGCATCAGAAAAAAAAATCTTACCATAGTGAATGATGGGCGGGAGTACAGAGTGGAGACCCCAAAGCCCATTTGTAGGCCACTGAAGATCCCCTTACAGAAGGGTCTCAGGGAGGAGATGAACCAGTCAGGGTGCAATGCAGCAACGATGAAACATACAACTTTCCTCTAGTTCCTAAATGCTTCCTCTCCACCCACTATCATGATCCCAATTCTACCTTACAAATCTGGCTAGACCAGAGGATGTACACTGGTACAGATAGGATCTGGAAACACAAGGAATCCGGGGCGGATGATCCCTTAAGGGCCAGTGGTGTGAGTGGCAATACTGGGAGGGTGGAGGGAGGGTGGGTTGGAAAGGGGAAACAGATTACAAGGATCTACATGTGACCTCCTCCCTGGGGGATGGACAACAGAGAAGTGGGTGAAGGGTGACGTCGGACAGGGCAAGATATGACAAAATAATAATTTATAAATTATCAAGGGTTCACAAAGGAGGGGGGAGCGGGGAGGGAGGGGAAAATGAGAAGCTGATGCCAGGGGCTTATGTGGAGAGCAAATGTTTTGAGAATGATGAGGGCAATGAATGTACAAATGTGCTTTACACAATTGATGTATGGATGGATTGTGATAAGAGTTGTATGAGCCCCTAATAAAACGATTAAAAAAAAGAGGTGGTTGAAGCCATAGAAATGGGTTAGTGCAGTAGAAATGAATGTGACTAATGGGCAAAAAACCCACTCCTTTCTAGCTGATTCTGACTCAGAGCACAGTGAGAAAATTGCCCCACTGGGTTTCCAAGGCTATGCATCTATGTAGCAGCAGACTGCTGGATCTTTCTTCCTGCAGAGAGGCTGGTGGGTACAAACTGCTGAACACCTGACCCACTGTGCCACCAGTCCTCTCTGTACTAGGAAAAGGGAGCCCTCAAGGAACCATGAAGAATGCCTCCAGTTAAAAATCATCAAAAGGAAACCAGCGGGAAAACAGAGACCAGCCATGGGGAGAACAAAGCATTTTCAAAAAAACATTTGGCCATCAGGAGCGCATCGCTGGTCTCCTTGAAAAGTTCTGAAGGACTGGTGTCATCTTCCTGCTATGGCACGGCACAGACAGTAAGTGAAAGTTGACGGGGCCCTTAGAAGCACCCTTCCTTATGAAAGCTATGACTAGATATACTCACAACACATTCTGAAAGCAGTAAAACACTGAAGAAAAGCAATATGTAACACACGAGTATAAAATAACGGAATAGATGTTTTCTCTGCAGCTTTCTTTTTTTAATTGTAATGAAAACAGATACAGTAAAACACTAGCCATCACAACAGGTACTTGAAATTGTTCTTACTATCAAATGCTTACCTGACACACTTGCTTTTCAATTGTATCGAGTAAAAGCCTTGGGATACTAACGGACATATCAGTTCCATCTAAAGAGTACTGGTTAACAAGGTTAAGAACCGAACCAACCACTTCTCTCTCTCTTTCCAAAAACACGATCATTTCATTCACTAAGGCCCACAATGACCGAACCTTGGAAAACAGACGAAAAGAAAATATTAAACATAGTCTCAGCATACACTAAAGACAGTAAGATATAAATTTATGCTCCTTCTGAGGAACAAATAGTTATCACTGGAATAATTTCTGAACGAAAAATTAAACAATTGTATTTTAGTAGTCTTAAAGTAGTGTTAAGTAACATGACGTTAAAAAGGCATTTTAAGTCCAATTTCTTGTAAGAATCGAGCTCATTACAATTTCCAAAGCAAATCTAAGCAGGCTTATATTATACCAACAGACAACTAACATTTCCTGTATTTTGATATGCCATTAAGCTAATGAAGATTTTGAAGGGATAAAATAAATGATTGGGGGGGTGGGTTGAAAGACAGGATATTATGTAACAATTTTAAGAGTCATTTAAGTTTCAGAAATGTTTAAAGTATGAAAAAGCCTGCTTCCCAAAAGTCAACGAATCTTTGGCAAATACTAACATGTATGTCCACTAAAACCCAAGTCCAAGAATAGTCACAGTACTATTATTTGTAATAGTGAAAAACCGGAAACTGCCCAAAGGTTCAAATGAGTGGATTGGGTATTCAGTCAAAAGGGTAAACTATGCTTTATGCATATGTGAAACCATCATCGAGCAGTAAGACAGTCATATTACACTACACTCAATAGCATGAAAAACAGCACAAACATGTCGAGTGAAAGTTTACACATGAGCATATATTGAGCAAACACATTCTATGTATTTCTATCTATAGAAATTGAAAAACTAACCTTTGCTTGCTGTAAGGGCTCAGGACTGTTTACACTTGAAGAGAAAGGGCTATAAATGAAAGGAGGCTTGAGGGCAGGTCTAGGGTGCTGGAAATGTGGTTTCTTAAATTGAAGCTGGTTACATGTATGTGTTTACTCTGTGACAATTCATCCAGCTATACACTTAGTGTGTTTGCACTTTTCTGTCTGCGCTGAATGCGTTAGTAAAACTTACCAAGAGAAGAAAGAGGTAGATAAATAGGACAACCAAACCCAAGCCAATGTCTGTCTTCCCCTGGCATGCCTGAAATATTAAATCTCTCTAACAGCAGTGCTCCAGGGTGAAGTAAAATCCTCATAGGAAGACTCACTGGACGGCAAGTTAAAGGTGCCACCAGATGACATGACCTAGATGAATTTACAATGCTCCAGATTTTTCAAGTCTAAAAATTTGATCTTGTCAGTGACTCAGAAACAGCAGGGCTCAGGGAAACTGTTATGACTCAAGCTCAGCAGAGATTAGGAAGGTTAATGCCGGCGTATTAAATTTACAATCAGAGCTACTGCATCCAGCAATAGGAAGGTGCACACTCACTACCTGGAAGTGCCACAAAAGGAGTGGCTCCTGCTTCCTGGTCCCAGAATCGAGACCAACTCTTGTCAATAGCAAGTGATCAATAGTGGCTGAATAAACAACTATTTCCCAAAGAGGGAACTCACTTTTTCCAGCCAGTGAAGACAAAGCACTACCCAAAGCGGCCTGGTGATCACAGACTTAGAACAATGAGCTTGAGGAGGATTCATCCAGGCCAAAGGAAGGCCTAGAAAGCACTTCTGCCCGACAGCAAAGCTAGGCTCTGCAGGATTCAGATCATTCCTGTTTCTTCCCTAGCCAGCCGCAAAGTCACCACATTTTTCTCCCCTGCTTACTAGCTCCCATTCAGTTAATATATATTGTATTTAGATCCATAAAGTTCCAAGCAAGCCCAATTTGTTGTGCTGGCAGGAAAGATTTTTAATTCAACCATACCTAAAAATACTTCTATTAAATCTCATAAAGCATAGACTCGTTTTTCCCCAGTATATTCAAGAGTAGGAAAGGCACTCTGTTGATGCCTTTGCATCTGAATACCACCTATGCCAAGTTAAAAATTAGTAATATAATGATAGTGCTACAACAAGAAATGGCAAGAAGAGAGATTATAAGGTCTAAAAGAGCAAACACTGCATATTGTAAAAAGAATAGAGATTTGGAGTCTCCCTTGATAAATTGTCTCACCTTTTGAACTTTCTCTTGTAGATTACTTTGGTCCTCATAGGGTTCCATTCTAGTCAAAAATGTAATAACCTAGTTAGTGATCAGAAAAGCATATGGAAATGTAACATCTGAAGAGCTAACTGATCTGCAAACTCACCCAATAACAACCACTCCAACGAAACACAGAAATAAAATTCCAGCTCCAAGCAACAACAAAGCATTCCAAAGAGAACTGGGCTAGACGTAAGAAATGTGTTCTAGCCCTATCAGTATTGTGCTAGTTACATATTATTTTTATGTTTTCAGGAAACTATTTCTTCACCTGTAAAATGCAGGTGTTTACTATCTAAAGAGACTTTCAGTTCTAAGAGCTACTTACTTTTTAAGGTGGTTTTGCAGTACTACACATTCTGCTCTCAATTCTCGTAATCGCTTAACAGACAATCTGCCAAAAACAAACAAATCATCTGTGGGAAACAAAGGAACAGGAAGAGAGGGTAGGCAGACAAATTCTTTATATTCATATTTAAGCCGCCTGGGAGGCCAGGATTCGGGTGGAGGGAGGCTTTCACACTTGTGAATTAGAGATGAGTCCCAATCACATGCTCATAAGATTAATTTCCCCAATATACTCCCACAAGAGTGCTACCTTAAAGTTACCTCTTGCGTGCACATGGCTGGTAGCTACCTGGCCAGCAGCTTCATCTATAGAAGCTGACATGTTGCTCTTGCTCTCTCTGCTCAGGGGACAGCCACTCCCCTTTAGGTCCCCCCAGCACTGGCGTTAGGTTTACTCCTCCAATGAACTCAGGGGCTTCTAAGGTTAGGGTACAGCCCACTTTGTTATGTATGTGGTTACCTGTAATTATGGGGGTTTGCATGCCCCAAGACTATATAAGTTGATATAAGGATACATTTTCTCTCTCCCCTACACCTGGTTCCAGATACAATGGAGGTGAGCACCCCAAAACTTTTGTCTGTCTCTTACTTTCTTTCCTTCAATTACACAACTGTCCCTTATGACCCATCCAGATGTGGGCTGGATCCACAATTATCAACGAATTCCACTACAATTCACTAGTAGAGCTCATTTTGCTATCGCTGCCTTTTTATACCTTTGCTCAAAGCTTCTGGGGCTCCTCTTCCGAGCAGACCCAGCAGGCAGCCAGCTACATGGCCCTGCCCTCCCTCCCAAGGACACTGCTTTCACCACAGGTGTCACTGGGTAAGCTTCTATTGAGAGGGGACTGTGACTCCTGCGCACTATAACTTCTCTGGAGTAAAAATGCTGGCATCAATAAGAGTACTTTGGCTCTCTTTGTCTCACATACCTACATTTACACATTATCTAAAGCAGTTGAGCCACATTTCGGTTTTAAAACCATTTTTAAGGATTTTGTGGCTTTAATAAAAGCAACACAGTATTTTAAAAGTTACCTTACTGCAATTGTCCATAATTGTTTAAAAAAAAAATTGGACAAAATCGACTCCTAGAGTAAGAAGCATGCCTGCCTTGTTTAATGCTCTAGCATTAAATCTGGCACATGGTGTAAACAAAGCAATTTTTAGCTAGTCAAATTGTTAAACTAATATAAAACAGTATGAAATAATGGATTATCTATTTGACAAAAGATCTACTTAATGTTAACATGTATATATCCTCAACAGATTATTAGACATAAAAATAGTGACATCAAAATGGTTACATCAATGTTTTGAGAATGATGCAGGCAATGACTGTACAAATGCGCTATACATAATTGATGTGTGTATGGATTGTGATGAGTTGTATGAGCCCCTAATAAAATGATTTTTAAAAAAGTTACATCAAAATGGAAAATGTATGCAACCACTTAAAAAAGGATGCAAAATATAATAAATGGCAATTAAAGATTTGGTACACTGTGGGTCAGGTGTTAGAGTGCTAACTGTTAAGATTGCCAGTTCAAACCCATCCCTTGGGATATGCTGGATAAAGATGACACTGTCTTGTCTGCTCCTATAAAGATTTGGTCGTGCGACGGCAATGAATGTACAAATGTGCTTTACACAATTGATGTATGGATTGTGATAAGAGTCATATGAGCCCCTAATAAAACGATTAAATAAATAAGTAAATAAGACCTGGTTGTGGAAGCCCTGTGCAGGAGTCTGATGAGATAGAATCGCCTTGCTGGCAGTGAGTCTGGGCACAGCTGTAAAAGAATAGAGGCTCAGGGGAAGAGCAGAAGGCCCTCGACGAGCTGGGCTGACAGGGGCTGCAGCAAGGGACTCAGCAGAGGAATAACTGTGAGGTCAGCGCGGGACCAGGCAGCGTTTGGTTCTACTGGACACAGGGTCACTGTGGATCAGAACCGACTCGATGGTACCCAACAACAACAAAAGAATATTTTTTTTTTAAATACAAAAGCTCATATGAAAATTTAATTTTTCGTTCAAAGCTGCAGCCTCTCCCTGACTTCTGTAGGCCCTATGGCCAGGTGCTCTGTCTTATCCACAGGTAGGTGGGTGTGTGTGCGCATGCGCACGCTCTCTAATAAAGTTTTTTTTTTTAATCATTTTATTAGGGGCTCATACAACTTTTTTTTTTTAAAACATTTTATTAGGGGCTCATACAACTGTTATCGCGATCCATACACACATCAATTGTGTAAAGCGTATTTGTACATCATTCTCAAAACATTTTCTCTCCACCTAAACCCCTGACATTAGGTCCTCATTTTTCCCCTCCCTCCCCGCTCCCCCCTCCCTCATGAGCCCTTGATAGTTTATCAATTGGTATTTTGTCGTTATCTTGCCCAGTCCGATGTCTCCCTTCACCCACTTTTCGGTCGTCTGTCTAATAAAGTTTTTACACTTAAAAAAAAAAAAGAAAATTTAATTTTTGATTTCCCCCCCTCTTTTCTCCTAATTTTCACTTACAGCACATCTAAAGTTTTCAAACATTTCACTGCGAAGCTCTTAAGACGTCAAACTTAGAAAAATAGTAGCCACTGCTTTGAAGTGTCTTAGTCGAAGTGGTTAGTTAGGGCAGCGAGGATCCCCACCCGGTGGCCCCCGCATGCAGAGCCCATCAGCTCCATGGGCTTTCAAGGCTATGAGTTCTACGATCACCAGGACTCTCTTCAGAGGCACCTCTGGGTGAGTGCAAACCATCACCTTCCGACTCTAGTCAGGCACTGAACCAAGTTTAAGTAGGTAGTGTGCATTATTTCCACAGAAGTTCTAGAGGTGACATTTGTTCAGCAGGATCGCATTTTCATTTTCTCACTGTCAAAGTATTACTTACTGTGCGTTTTCTTGATATTTTCGGGTCACACAATCCTGTCTTTGCAAAATTTGGAAAAATCTGTTACGGGCTATATGACATCTGGCAATGCATTTGTGCAAATTTTGTTGCTTCACATTAAATGTATCCGTAAAGTATACCTGAGAATCTGCAACTGAACACAAACAACATCATAGCAAACAGACTTCCAAACAATTACGTAGCAGTGTTGAATTTTTATTAATTTTAAAACATTAAATTAACCGCACGTAACCAATTCCTTGCACACCAATATGCCATTCACACAAACACAAAATACAATTGCTAAAAACGCAGACTTATTTTCAGTACACGATTTAAAAAGGACATTGGGAAAAAACTTAATTTGCCCAAGATGTGCGGTCCATTCAGAACCCAATGTCTCAACCACACATTTTATGTGTGAGCAGCCGTTCTTTTCACAAGAGAGAAAGACCTCAGTGGAAAGCACTGACGCGAGAACGTATTGTTGGCATTGCTGCTCCGGGTTTACTTTCCCTCCTCATGAGACCCAAGAGGACAGGAGACCCTGGAGACACCTCCCCTTCTCCAGCAATCCCTGGCTACCGCATTAACCAGCATAGGACTGCCCTGCAGTTACACACCCATGAGCCCGAGGCCAATTTTCACATTCACTCAAAGGACTGCAAAAACATCCCAGCATTTTCAATGTCAGCGTTACAATTACAACACTGAAAAGTCATCTTTTTGCAGTCTGTTGTCCTGCTTACAGATTATGCTTCCAACTCCCTACAAAAAGTTGATAAAATATTGCTTATAGTTTAAAAAAAGAAAAAGAAAAAAGCATGCATATGAGGGGACTTCAAGCTTATGGAAAAATGGAAGTGAAAATAATGCCATGTTTCTATAAATTTTAGGAAGCCCGCCATATTTCCTTGTTTTACTGATTATAAACACAGGTTACCTCAAGGAAGGAACTAAGTAGCTAGAGAACAGAGTTGGAAGGAAACCTTTTTCCTTATTTTTGAGTCAGGAGGCTATATTACTTATTCAAGATAAATAAAATGTATAAATACATGTACTAAAAACACCTCAAAGGAATTATAGCAAAATGTCAGCAATGGCTGATGGACAGGGTGTATTGCTTCAACGCCTTTGTATGTTCTCTGCTTTACAAGCATAAACCAGTGAAACAAAGCATAATTAATAAGCTACAATTATCATACTGTAAAGGTTTAGTGTGAAAGTCAATTTTTTGTGTCTGTGAATTAACTGATTGCTAACCCCCCTTAAAACACAAATTTAAAAGTGAATTTTTTTTAAGCCAACAGTAACAAAAATAAATCTTAAATATATTCCATTCTACATTCAGTACAATGAGAGCAGGGGCCAACATACTATGACCTGCAGAGCTCAATCAATACCTGGCCCATTTCCCGTTTTCCCGAGGCCTGTAGGTTTTCATTTTGTAAAGTGTTACAAAGCACAAATAAGCAATAGAGACTAATCCACAGTCTAAAATATATTTGCTCAGTAACCTTTTTAGGAAGTTTCTGAATTAGAGCATAATAAAATAACCTGCCTACTTAAGTATGCTCCGCTCTTGTGCTTCGGGTCGCTGAGTCAGACCAGCTCGATGGCACCTAACAACACGAACGCTCATTATGCAAGGGTTCCAACCAACAGCCCCAGCAGTATTTCAGTATTTGCTTTTGAGGTACATTCATTCACCTTGCTTCATTACAATCTCTTCACAGATCATAAACTGTAATGACTATAAGGGTAAGGGAAATAGCCCTACTATAAACTCAACTTACTTTTAGAACAAGTTTTAACATATTTTATTGCCACGTATTTTGCAAAGTGATACATCAGATGGACAAACTTCGGACCACCAGGAGACATAAACAGGGAACCGACAACTTGAGGGAAGCTACCTCCACACTCAGCCTAGGGAGGAAAGAAACAATGTCAAGAGTAGATTAGCAATAAGACCTTGTATTTACATAATTCTGACTGAGAAAGTGAGAGGGCTCTGGTGGTACAATCTCTAAGCACCCCGGTACTGACCCACACGTCGATGGGTTACACCCTCACTGCAGCCACCAAGGAGAAAGAGAAGTCCTGGTGACGTGCCTCCGTAAAGATTCCAGCCAAGAAAACCCCACGAGGCAGATCTACTCTGTCACATGATGTGCCATGGGTCAGAAGCAACTTGACCGCACCCACATTTTTTTTTAACCTTTTTCTTGTGATTTGGGTGAATGTAGGTTTAAGGAGCTGATCCGTTTTCCACTCCACAATTCACATGCGTTGTTTCATCACACTGACTGCAACCCCCTCTGTGACGCATTAACGATACCGATGCCATTTCCTTCGCTCGCTTCCTGCTTTCCTAACCCTTCAGAATGCTGTCCTTCAGTGAATGCTGTTCTCTTCATCGCAAATGTTTCATTATCCTATGGCAGGGGTGGGGACTATCCCGCCCGCGGCCGAATAAGGTCCATGAAATCATCAATACCAACTAACACCACATGCCTCACCAGAGAGAAGCAGAGTGGGCAAACAATTTCACCCATCACAAAAAAAAAATCAAACTCACAGCCTCTAGTCAATTCTGACTCACAGCTACTCTAAAGGACAGGGTACAATTGGCCTTGAGGGTGTCTGTAACCTTCCCGGGAGGAGAACGCCTTCTTTCTCCCCCAGAGCAGACCTGTGGTTAGCATTGCAAAGCATAACCACTACACCACTGGAGCTCCATCGCATTAGGGGCGAGTTAAAATGTTTGCTCAGTACAGCCCAAGAATGATGTTATAAATACGCAAATGGTCCTTGGCAGGAAAAAGATTCCCACCCATTCTAAGGTGTGCATACCTCACTAGTGTTATTGTTTCCCTTATCAGCCTATTGCTTGGCTGAATACTGAGCCACAGGAGAGAGTTCGGTTCTAGACCTGCAGGGTGACCAAGGGCCACAGCCTTGGGTTTTCCACTGTCTCTAACCAACCAGTATACCTTGTCTGTTTATTTTGAGTTTGTTCCACGTTTTTCTCCTCTCTGTTCAGGCCCTTCTACTGTGATCCTGGCTACCATTACCAACGATTCTGAATGTTCGTCTGGTACACTGGGTCACTGGACTAACTGCTTTCAGGTGTCTTCAGTTTTCATCACTTTTTTTCTTCCACACAAAGAGAGATTAACGGTGACTAATAGTCACGAATGTTAAGACCACAGCACTATTAACCAAAGTAAGATGTAGAATATTGTCTTGTGGATTATGTGATGCCAACTGACTTCACTGACCCCTGAGACTATGTCCTTAGCCCACAGGCTCAGCCAACAGCATTTGTGAAGCAACTACACAAACTGATAGAATGGCTTTTTGCCACAATGAAAAATATGTATCATGTTCAACTGAATTTTAAAATCATTTAAAGGAGAAGGTATGCAGGATTAAAAGCCTACTGAAGCAAAAGCTGAAGATGTCCAAGAGCCTCTAAGCACTTGTAAACTTGTAACTGCTTAAAGGTGTGCTCTGGCCACTGAAGCCCCCTCAGCCTACAAGCACACAACAAAAACAATGCCAAGAAGTCAGCAGCCTCAAACAAACCGCCAACAGGATCTTGTTTGTAATCGCTAGTTGGTGTCCAGATCCCTCTGACTTATGCTCAACACCATCACGGACCCAGGGTCTTCCTTTCTGTCATCTTCAGCTTACTGATCTTGTTCTCTGACGCCGAGACACAAAGTTAACCAACACTTTTGTCATTTCAAAAATTAGTAATAAAAGTGGTATTTTTACATAAAGGAGATTTAAAGGATGTAAACTGTAGTGGTGTTTATGATTACTAGTGAATTGCTAGTTATTAAGAATAATGACCCAGGCTTCATTTGGAGAAAAGCACAGGAAATGTGTCTGTCTATAATCATAGATACTGTTAACACAAACCTTTTTGTTTTTAGAGGGTGTTCTTCAGGGAAGGTTGGGGGTCGGGTGAGGAAATGGGGCTCTAAAAATGAGTAAGAGGAAAAATGTTGTGAAATTGATTGTGTTGATGATTGCCCCATCCTTCTTAATGATTGAATGATTAAATTGTATGATATGTGAATTATATGCCAATAAAATGTTTTTAAAAATTAAAAATAAAGAAAAATTTTATCTAAACTATTGAATTGTATGCTATGTGAATATATGCCAAAAAATTGTTGAATAAACTAAAATTTGTTCAAAAAAAGAGAAAAATCTGGGCTGGACCCTTTCCCTACTTTGTTAGAAACAGCTACAAAGGAAAGACTTAGCATGGCCAATCACTGCCAGAAGTCTGAGGACTTCAGTTAACAATGACATGTACGCTCCGGTCCGATTCAGCTTTGGAAACCAAGCACCTAGCAAAATGCTTGGTGCATATTGTAACTTAACATATTCAGAATTGTTAAGATAGCCAAGAATAGAGCAAAGTGATGCTTTGCCTAGAGAAATTCTAATTTTTTTTGAATCCTACCATAAAGTGATACAGCACAGCCTCATGGTGCTGTCGAGTAAGCACTGATCCACTAACCACAAGGTTGGTGGTTCAAACCCACCAGCCACTCAGAGGGGAGAAGGCCAGCTCTTCACGTAAATGATTTATAGGCTCCTTGATTATGAGTCAGAATCAACTCAATGGCAGTGAGTTTTTGGTTTGGTTTTACTTATACTTTTAGCATAAAAGCATGAACAAGATTTTACTTCTAAAGAGTTCATGTACTCTTTTTTTTAACTTCAAGTTTGCACTATCTTTCAGAAAAATAATACTTACAGAAATTTTCTTTAACCACTCGCAACAATGTTTCCGGTATTCCGCATCACGTTTGTGGTCAAATGGAGGCCAACAAAATCTTAAAAACAAAAATAGGAGCCTTAGAATTATGTACAAAAAAACTCAGTTAATTTTTTTTTAAATATCAAACTCATCTCCTAACCGAGAAACAACAATGCTAAAAGGACACCAAGGCTAACATGATTGAATTTCAGCTAATCAGACACCAACCTGTGAGAAAGCAGGTATTTTCCTTTTAATATATCTGTAAAGTTGAGTTCAGTCAAGTACAATTAAGCAATGGAGAAGTGTATTAAATAAAGGAATGAATTACTAAACATCAGCTAGAGGTCCACATTCTCAATGGACTCACTACCAGGGGTCCTCAAACTTTTTAAACAGGGCCAGTTCACTGTCTCTCAGACCTGTTGGAGGAGCGACTACAGTTTAAAACAAAAACTGAACAAATTCCTATGCACACTGCACATATCTTATTTGAAGTAAAAAACAAAACGGGCAAAAACACCCAGCAGGCCAGATAAATGTCCTAGGCGGGCTGCATGTGGCCCCCAGGCCATAGTTTGAGGACCCCTGCACTAGGCTAATGTGTAAAGAAGGGAGTAAATAATTTTGCATACTAATCCTAAAAATGAAAGAATCTTGAGAGAGATAAACAAATGATCCCACATGAAAAGCTAGATGCATGAGAGTTGGACTCCTACAGATACCCTTATCACAGAGGGCGGGTGCTACTCTTTTTTTCAATCGTTTTATTAAGGGCTCATACAACTCATCACAATCCATACATACATCAATTTTGTAAAGCACATTGGTACATTCAATGCCCTCATCATTCTCAAAACATGTGTTCCACTTAAGCCCCTGATATCAGCTCATTTCCCCCCCTTACCTGCTCCCCCCTCCCTCGTAAACCCTTGATAATTTTTTTTTAGATCTTATTTATTTATTTATTTATTTTAGCATTTTATTAGGGGCTCATACAACTGTTATCCCAATCCATACACACATCAATTGTGTAAAGCGCATATGTACATCGTTTCTCAAAACATTTTCTC